ACCGAGAAGTCGAAGTAGTCGTGACAACGGGAAGACGCGTCGCTGGGCGAGCATCGGTTCGAGAGGTCCGCTCGTGGGCAGCCGTCGCAACAGACTGTCCAGCTCGGCCGGCGCTGCCTCTGGGACGCCGCGGTCTGTCAGACCGGCTGAGGCGTCGCTTAGCAACCGGGTTAGGCAGCGTGTTCGTATTTCGAGGAGGAGGCCGTCGAGGAGACGGAGGAGGCGTTCGAGGGGCGGATTGAAGAGACGCAACCATCGGAGCACATCGTGTCTGTCGGCGACTCGAACCAACAGACCCGACGGCCGGTCGTCGGGGACGGGGGCCAGCTGCCTGACGACCAGTCGCAGATGATAGCGGCCGGGCGCTGGTCGCCACGGCGACGCCAACTTGGCCGAGAGCACTTGGAAGGCCTCGCTCCAGCCCAGTTCGTCCAAAGTGTCGAGGCGGGCGGGGCCCGGCTGAAAGGTGGCCAGAACTGGCCGCATTGTACGTCCATCCTCGCCCAGCACCAGTTGGCCCTCGAGGCCGCCCGACGCCAACGGCGACGCCAACTTGGTCGTCGACTGACGAGCACAAGTGTCACCAACGCCGACGCCGACGCCGACGCCGACGCCAAAGCCGAGGTCGACTGGACGTTGCTGTTCGTCGCCGAGGCTGAATTGTGCCGCGAAACCCTCGACGAGGCCGCAGCAGAAGCGGGCTTCCGACTCGCTTCTGGCGCGAAAACAGGCTTGGTACAGTCGCGACTGGAGACTGAAGAGTCGCCGGAGGCGAGCACGAGCACGAGTCGACTCGCCGCGGCCCGAATCGACGTCGACGTCGGCGCTGGCGGCGGCGGTGGCGGCGGCGATTGCGGCGGCGTCGTCGGTGGGGCCGGTGTGGACGTGGTGGAGATCGGCGAAGGGGATCTCGATCAGCGGGACGGTGGCAAAGTCGCTGGTGTAGAGACAGAGCTGGAGACAGACACGCCTGACTTGGAGACAACAGGCGACGTGACGCAGCAGCGTCTTGTTCGCCTGTCGATGGTACAGCCAGACCAACTCGAGGCGCATCGTGAAGACGGCCTGTTGCTCGCTGGCAGAGCGCACACGCTGTCGCAAACTGGCCTCCAACAACTGCAACCAGACGGCCACTTTGCCCGGTTGGGCCAAGTAGCAGACGAGCCGAGTCCCGGGCCCCATGCCGCCACTGGCACGAGGTTTAATACAACAAATAAAATGAATAAGTAATCACCAATTATAAATGGATTTCAAAGAGCT